GGATGGCCTCCTAACCGAAGCAGCCCTTCCTGTTTCAGGCTTCCTAGTGGGGGGGTACCAAGTGTGTGCCACCACTCCTACTCCTTTCTGTTTTTTGAGACAGTGTTGCATTGTCACTAAATTGCCCAGGCTGGGCAGTACTCCTGCCTTGGCATGCCAGAGTGCTGGGATTACAGACATGCACCACCATGCATGGAAGATTTTTTTTTTTTTTTTTAAATCAAGTACTTTCACTTTTTTACTTGCAGGAAGCACTTTTATGATTTCTCTTACCGAGGATCGAACTTACTACCTCACTTCAGCTCTTTCTTTGATTATAGGTAATTGGAACCAGAGATAATCTAGAAACCCACTTTATTTCCCGTAGGTGACCTTTGTCACATACACTGCTCTTTGCTTTTAAGGTATTTAACATGACAGTTGCTATTTCAGTTTCTAATTGTAGGTCATGCAGTTGCTGTGGTTAAAAAAACTTTTTCTTTTTTTCCTACATAACAAAAATAATTTCTGTTGATTAGCCCTTCCATTTTCCCAGTGGTTTTAAAGTGTGCAAGTACCTCTAAGGTAAGTATAAGATCTGCTTTGGTGGCTTTCACAGCTTACCACTTCCAATTTTCTTGGACCTGGCACTCTTCTCATCTCCTGTTTTTTTTATTACCTAGCAGGGGGACACCTTTTTTTTTTTGATCAGGAATCAAACTCAAGACCTCATGCTTACCAGGCAGGCACTGTGCCACTGAGCTGTATACCTGATCCAGTAGGGGGATCCTTAGCTGGGTATACACTGTCAATCCAGCACACACCCCCAAATACACTTAACTGACTCTGTTTTGCTTTGTCACTTTGGGTTTTTCTTTGGTCCGTTTTGTTTTGTTTTGTTTTTTGTTTTTTGGCTTTTTAAAAATCTTTTTTCTTTTCCTCTTCAAAGAAAAAGTTATAAAAACTGTTGGAGTAATGGAAACTAAAATGTGTGATTGTTAGCGTAAAAAAAGAGGAAGGAAAGTGATATAAAGGATATAACTGCAAGTATATTTAAATGTGTAGGATAGAGAACCATATTGCTGAGTTTTTCGTGGATCATTGAACAGAACTGACTGCAATCTCACTGTATTAATCTCCACTTTGTATGCTTTAATTTTGTAATCTGGACAGCTGTTTGTAAGATGACTTTGTGTGATCTATTAACTGGTGAACTCTTACTGTATATTTTTTCTCTTGAAATTCTGTATTACTTCTAGCCTTTTACTGTTTTGCTTCATTCAGTTTTGTTTTTCTCTTTAAATAAAAAAAAATTTGGACAGAAACTTTGGTTTTTAAAAACATGATCTTGCTATAGCTCAGGCTGGCCTCGAACACAACAGTCATCCACTTTCTGCCTTCCAATTACTAAGATTTCAGGCATATACCACTACATCTAGTAAATTTGGACAAATTAACCGATTAATAACTGGAGTAGAGGCTAAGAAAACCCAGTAAGAGCAGGAATGATGGTGCATACTTGTAACCCTGTACTGAGGAGGTTGAAGCAGGAGAATCAAAAGCAAGACCGGGTTGAACTATATGGTAAGACTGTCTCAGAGAAGTGAGGGGAAAGCCAGCCAGTCCACCAGAACTGTCAAACACTCTAATGCTTAGAGATGACCAAGTTTGGTGATGGCCCATGTAGAAGGTTTTTATTTAAAGAAATCACGTGCCAGGAAAATCCAGTACAATTGTATGGATGATTGCATCATAGTATGATCTATCAATGTGCTAGATTGCACCCAGAATTAATCTAGAACAACAAAAACCAGGGAGATAGTAGGTCCCACAAATCATCCTTAGGATATAAGACTTTACTAGCTCCATGGTACTTTACTAACCTTCATATGATCCCTGGTACCATAAAAAATAAAAACTAAACTTTTTTACCAGGCTGGGTTTTATTTTGTTGGTTCTTTGTTTTTTGTGTTGTTGTTTTTGTTTTTGAGTACCAGGGATCAACCTCATGATCTCATGTTGGCCAAGCATAGTCTGAATGTTTTTATTTATCAGGTGTACTAATAAGGTCACTTTTCATTAGAAATTAGACTCCATAAGGCATTGGTATATTTTCCCCCGGCAATTTGAATATTTTCCTGTTTGAAGAACCCTTTAGTAGAAATGGGATTTTGGTCTTCATTAGATTAGTAGTGTGATAACAGTAGTATACTCAACAGTTCTAATCATTCAGACTACAAAATTTCTTCAGCCTAATTTTCAGATGTAATTACACAAAATCCTTTAGAGCCATGCTGATAGAAATGTTTCCTCATTGCAAAACCTAACTCAGTATTATAATACAATTTATAATGCAATATCCTCTTTCTCTGGTGCCAACATTTTCCAGCTACAAGGCATTACTTATAAGTATATTTGAAGAGAAATTCATCAGTATATCACAATTTATGCTATCAGCTCTAGAACCATTTCTATGAAAAAATGATCTAAGCCAGGTGTATGGCTCACACCTGTAATCCCAGCACTCAGGAGGCTGAGGCAGGAGGATCGTTGCAAGTTCAAGACCAGCCTGGGCTACAAAGTGAGCCTCAGGCCTGCCTGAACTGCATAGAGAGACCCTGTCTCCAAAAAAAAAGTGATCCAGTGATGATATTGTTCCCAAATTTCAGTGATGTTTCTGACTTCAGACCCATTCCTCAGCCTGCCCTTCAGTATTATACTTAAATGGTAAATACGGATATAGGATATGTAGGATCAATACAGAGTACAAGATCCACAGTGCAACTAAGCATCCAGTGTTGTTTTACTGTACTAGGGCTTGTACCTAGGTCTTTACACTCAGATATGTACCCAGTCCTTTTTATTTTTTATTTGAGATAGGGTCTACTAAGTTACCAGTTTCTGTTGATTGGTCTCAAACATGGGGGCCGTCGTTGGTCGTCGTCTTCAGGTTCCTAGAGTGCTGGGATTGCAAACATGTGCCACCATACCAGCTAGCATTCAGATTTTGAAGTTGACCACACTCAGCTTCTTGAGTCAAGACCATAGTAAAGTTATTGACTTTTTATGACATTGTATCCCAAAGATGATGGCAATCCAATGTCTTATCTTAAACCCCCACCTTTAGACATATTTAATGTTACCACCCCATTCCCTCAAAAAGTGAATCACTATCTCAAGAATTTTAGGCATTAAAATGAATCACATGTATCCAGCAGGTAAAATTCTACTTAGTAGTAACATATTCAAGAGCATAGCCATTAGCTGTATAGGAGTTAGCAGAAGTTAAAGCTAATTGTTTCATAATTTAAGTTGCACAGTAGAGAACATGCCTTACTGGGTGATATTTGTTTTGTTTTTTGTCTTTTTGTGACAGAGGCTCACTGTGCAGTTCAGGCTGGCCTTGAAATCCACATCAAAGCCCAAGCTGTCTCATTTGCAACTGTCCCCCAGACTTAGCCTCCCTAGAGTACTGGGATTTCAGGCATGGTGGCACATGCCTGTAATCTCAGCACTTAGGAGGCTGAGGCCGAGAGGATGCCATAAATTTGAAGTCAGGTTGAATTACAGAGTGAAACCCTATCTCAAAAAAGTGTTTCTGAGCCGGGCATAGTGGCGCACTCCTGTAATCCCAGCACTTGGGAGGCCGAGGGAGGTGTATTGTTGCAAGTTCAAGACAAGCTACAAAGTGAGCCAGAGGCCAGCCTAAACCAAATAGTGAGACCCTGACTCCAAAAAGACACAAACAAAAGGTGTTTCTGGCACTCCAGAGAAAGTTGATACATTTTTAGTTTTTTTTTTTAAACATGTCTATATAGTCCGTGCCAGCCTTGAACTTGTTCAGTACCCTAGGCTGGCCTCAAAGATGATCCCTTCTGGCTCAGCCCTTGAAAGTGTAAGAACTACAGGTGCACACATCTATGCCAACAGCCCAAAGTGTTCTTAAACTCCTTTTCTTGAACTCAGGTGTTTTTCCTGTCTCAGTCTCCACAGTAGCTGAGACTGCAAGCTGTGCCTGGCAGATTTTCTTTAATAGAAGTATTAGTGATTATTAAAGCACAAATATGCTGGTTATTACGTGAATCTAGTCAAAGAATTTATATAGACATTATGGTGCTTGGGAAGTTGAGGCTGGAGAATCATAAGTTCTAGGCATACATAGGCATCTTAACCCCAGTTTCAGGGATGAGACACAATGGTACAACACCCAAATAAAAATAAATATATAAAAAGATAAACAAAAATTTAAAATAAATTATATATAGCTCTAGGAAAGTTTAATTTTGTTATGTACCTACAGCTGGTCTTCATCTACCCCTTCTCAGAAATATTGTGAAAATAGCTTGCCATCAGACAGCAGTCAGTGTTTCCTGGCATTTAACAGGTACTCAGTACACTTGAGAATGATAAACACAAGGTTGTGTGAAATTTTGGGCGTAATCTAACTGGAAAGAAAGAGTACAAATAAGCAGATGAAATTTTAATAGGAATATTTATATATTTTTATATTTTCCTCTCAGCTAAAAAGTTGCCAAAGAACGAGCCACAGAATCCAGGAGCAAATTCTGCTAGAGGAAGAGGAGTAGACCTCACGGAACCTACACAGCCAACCAGAAGTCAGTGTTGTAGTAACTAAACCTCCAGTTTGAACCAGCTGGAATATTCTGCTTCCTAAATGTTAATAACAGTGGAATTGGAGCATTTAACCAGCCCAGTACGACTCCCAAAAAACAAGAGACTTATGATAGAGTCAAATTTCTAATACAGAATTATTTTAAGTGTTTTAAACTTGATTTTTAATAATATGCATGTGTCCCTCTGACTAATGTTTCAGCAATAGAAAGGGAAAATGAGACCTGTGTGTAATTGTTTCACTGGAAAGTTGGAGGGAATCATTTCTCATCATTAAATGTCTTTAATGACTATCTGGGTCCGCAGTTAACCATTCAGTTTCTCCAAACTGGGACAGTGGTCATGTGTGGAAAAGTCAGAAATTACTAATTTGGCCTTTCTGAAAAACATTTTTAGCTAGATTACAAATATATTTATGCTTAGCTGCAGTATTCAGGTAAACTTTCTTCTGTTAATCTAACGTGTACATTCCACAAAAAAAACCAGTCTCACATCTACAGGAAGAAAAGGAATATTAATAGTGTCTAAGTTAGAGCCCGTCTTACTATTTTTCTAAGTGGGGTGAAGTCAAATGTAATCCCACCTTGTTTAGAAATATGAAAACTAATAAATACATTTTAATGAATAATGTTCCCTTCATGTGAGCTCTTCAAAAAATGAAGCAAACCAGGTATCTGATTTTTTTGTGTTGCTTTGTTTTTAATCATTGCAGGCCATTACATGGGTCTTGTTTGGGGGCAGGAAAGACGCTTTTGTTCCCTTTGGATGTAACACAGTGCACTAACAATTATGTACATTCAAACTTGATTGTTCTAAATTTTATCTTCAGCTGTACTGTAAATAGGGTACTGCATTGTAGCCTCCATGTATGTTTATTTTTTTCTGTAATATTTAAGAGTTGCTTAAAAGTATACAAAGTGTACAGTTACTAAAACGGCTAATACTTTCTCTCACCCTTTGAAAAGGGGGTTCATTCAGTTCCCACATGGCTAGAACCATAATAAGCAATGTATCTGTAATTTGTAACATAAATATTGCAATGTTAGTAACACTCTTGCAGTCTTGTTTTTCAAAGTCCACTTTATTTTGATAAGTTCCATATATTGCACTAATTTTTAGGTATTTTCATTATATGAAATCTACCATGTGTCAGATGATTTAATCTATTTAAGCGTCGAACTCTTAGCAGACCTCTTGTACATTCTACAGTAATTCAGAATTAGCAAGGAAAACAGTTCACCAGTGTTTAGTTTTATATTGAGGTGCTCAGGTTGGAATAAAGTGATATAAAAAGCAAATACTGGTTTTTCTGGTTTTTTGACATAAAACTGAACATACATAATAGCCTAAAATATGCTGTTACATTTTCTTTACTACGATCTGAAAAATTATTTCCCATGGTATTGATGTTCATTCCAGTACTTGGTTCATTAAAGAACTGGCTTTGTGGCAATACATTTTGATTCTCTGAATAACTGGAACTTAAACGTGTTATATCAGCAACTGATACTCACTTCCATTGAGAAATATTACCATAACTGTAATATTGTCTCTGGAACCAGCCTCTAAAGCAGCATTTACAAGTTCGCGGCTAACATACTCAGCTGCGCCTTCAAAGAAGTTCTTACTGTGTGGTGATTCTTCACTTGTTGGTGCATCATCTGCACTGGTTGGCCTATCAGTTTCTTTTTCACTGCTAGGTTCATGATTAGTCATTTGTGGTGGAGCTGTTTCTACATTGTTAGAGTTAAAAGCACAATGTTCAGAACATTTTGAATCAGATAGTTCTTTCTTTAAATTTGTAGTTGACACATGTTCTTTAGATTCAGGATTATATTGAAACAATACATGAATGTTACTTTCTGATTCAGTAGTGCTTGTGTCACTGATTGAAAGATACAGAGGCTTCATGTATGGTAATTTGTTTTGCATGGTAGAAGCACATGTGTCCTTATATATTTGAAACAGTGTTATTGCCAGTGCTATGACTTCCTCTTTATCCAGAACTTCCCAAAGTCCATTAGTAGCTAAGATAAGGAATTGACATAAATCATCTATAGGGACAGAAATAGTTTCAGGTGCTGGAATAATAAATTTTTTTAGTTTGAGATTTCCATGAAATCCAAGTCCTCTTGTCGTTTTTATGTACCCTTCCAAGAGACCATATGGTTCACTTGAAGTAATTAGTGCTCCATTCTGAAGTACTCTTCTTCTTTCACTGATGTTTGCTGTAGTGTGTTCTTTGGTGAGACAAAATCCTTTTCCATTCCTGCATAAGACTGCTTGCACATTTCCTGGAAGGTTATTTTTTAGACAAAAATTTTATCCTCAAAGATATAGTAGCCATTTGTATCAGTGTATGCTATTCATTTTATTGTTTCAGTGCTAAACAGGCCATATGAAAACATTTTTTTTTAATCGGTCCTAGGGATCGAACTCAGGACCACGCGCTTGCAAGGCAGGCACTTATGCTGCTGAGCTAAATCTCCAGCCTCCATGTGAAAACATTTTTAAAATACATGTACTAGATTTATAGTAGCTTAGATTTTAAACCAATTCTTTCTTCATGTCAAGCATTCTTAGTGTTTAAAATACTACATTTAGTATTAAAATGACTAAAATCACATAGTGAGAAATACTTTCTAAATCAAGTTTATGAAAGAGCTTCAGGATATTTTGGGAAGTTGAGTACTTTATTACAAATATATATTCCGTGTAACAAATTTTTAAATATTTGAGTAAATGCTTTTTCAGTTATAAACACAAATTTTGATTTTTAATAAAAAGTAGAATTTGACCATGTTATAACTGGTAAAGGTTGCTAATCTATAGAATGCAGTTCTATAATCAATGAAAAAATCAGAATGCCACTGTTAATAACAATAAAAAAATTTAGGTGGAAAATGTATACGTGTATTAAATAAGTAACCGACATTACATTAAATTTTTGGCAAAATTAAAAAGCTGATCATAGTTTTTTCATAGTTCAAATAAACCTGTGTGTTTTTCTTTGCAGTCTTAAGGTCTAAAACATACTATGAATAAGTCCTCTGATCTTAAATATGGTGCTATACCCAGGATCAAAATTTTATTGCTTACAGGGTTTAAATTTAAGCGTTCAGTTTAGAAGGCTAAGAGAGGTGATGGCAGTCTTTTAGAACTTTTAATTATCACATAGCTAGCTGTAGCAGGTGTGCTACAAGTTCACCACTGCTGACCCACAGCAGAGAACCCAGCATTGAGAAAAAGAAGGCCACGCCCCATGCAGCTGACAAAGAGCCCAACAGGATAAAGCATTGAGATGTATTCAGGTAATGACTCATTTGCATAATGGTAATTATCTGAGCTGCAGGATTGGGACCAAAAGATACTGTATATAAAAACTTTTGGAAACATGAACTATGTGGATGAGTTTTGAAACTGCAAAATCTCCCATTTCTGGTTTTGTAATACTTTGTATTTTTACTGATTCTACGTACTTTCTACAAAAGGTGTATAATTAAAATTCTTGAATTTTGCTGAGTTGTAAATTGCTAATTATCAGAAAGGGGACATGGAGTGGTATTTTACATAGCCGGTTAAACTCAACATTAGGAATTCATAAGGTCCAGTGGGTGTGCGGATTGAAGCCAAAGTCTCGCATTCTAGACAGGTGTATCACTAGGGCAGCACCCAGGACCCTGCGTTTCCTTGTTCCGAGACAAGATTTGGCTAACTTGCCCAGGCTGCCTTCAGACTTTCGATCCTCCTGCCTCAGCTTCAACCATGACTTGCAGTGCCTTTTTTTAATTAGAAAATACTTATTTGCATGTGGCAAGCCAAAATCCAGTCATTAAAAAAGAAAAGGCATTGTAACCCTGTTAGTGACTTCAGAAGAGTTTAATGCACTGTGTGTAAACCCCGAATGGCGGCACACTCTTTCAATCCCAGCACTCATGAGACTCAAGGCCAGCCCATACTAAGCAAGACTGTCCCAAAATCCAAAAAGAAAAAAATTTGAAATAGAGGCTTAAAGATAGATAAAGTTTAGTTACGTCTGTGGAGAGCCTGTTGAGTTTAGCTGTGTGCACTGTTTGCCTACTCCCCCCTGCCCCTCGCCAGAGAAGAACAAATGCTATTGGGGTTAATTTCACTCCTTGTGAATGTCCCTCAGGTTCAGCGCAATAAAATTTAACAGCTGTTAACCAGAGTGCAGTCTTAGATCTACCATTGGCTTTTGTCTGGCTTTAAGGAGGGACGGGGGTGTAGCCTAGCGGCACAGCTGCCTGGCAAGCGCAAGGTTCTGAGTTCGAGTCCTCATACCAAAAAAACAAAAAAATAACTACCTGCTAATTAGTTCGTGTCCTTTATGTGTGGAGATGATGCATGAAAGAAAGTAATGAAGGAGAGGTAACAGTGTTTCTTAGCTAATGTGTATAACCCATGAAGTAGAGGACAAGTGAAATTGAGGATGTGGAAGAGTACCAGTGAAACATAAAGTTGGATGTGGAAAAGATGGGATACAACTGTAATCCCAGCACTCGGAAGGCTGAGGCAGGAAGATTTTTGCAAGTTTGAGACCACTCTGGCCTGGCTACAAAGTGAGCTCAAGGCCAAGTTGAACTCCACAGAGCAGAAGCCCTGTCTCAAAAAAAGACCTTGTGGGGGCTGGGGATTTAGCTTGGTGCAAGCACCAGCCTGGCAAGCATGAGGTCATGAGTTCAATCTCTGGTACAAACAAAAAGACCTACTTCCAACAAGTTTGATTTGTTTGTTTGCTTTTTAAAAACAAGAGCTGGTGATGTATCTCAGTGGGAAGGCCCTGGATTTAATTCCCAGTACTGAAAGAAAAAGTTCCTTCCTATTCCAGTAAGAGAAAGGCATGAAAGGGGAGGCCACACACACACAAAAAAAAAGAATGACCAATGAATATTTCATTTCAGACACATAGATAAGAAAATTATGCCAGAGATTTAGCTCGGTGGTGTAAGCACTTGCATGGCAAGTACAAGGTCTTGAGTTCAATCCCCGGTACCAAAAAATAAATAAATAAATAAAGTTATAAGGAAATATTAGGCTTGGGAAGTAGGTAGTGGTAAGTTAGGAACAGAGAAAATACTCTGGAAAGGAAAATGAGCAGTTGAGAAGGAGCATAAATAGATGAGTACATGTAAAGGGGTTAGGAAAATTATCCAGTTTTTCATTAGAGTTTTGAGTTTGGCGTTTTTCTGACACATCCACCAGTAACTAGCACGAGAGCCTTGCTAATGCCAATGATCATTGTTTTAGTTGCTTTTTTCTAATTGCTGAGACAGAATACCTGATGCCCAAAACAATGGGAGGAAATTTTTCTGTTGGGGAGGTTGTTTCAGTCCATACTCAGCTGGTTCCAAGGCTGGGTGGCATGCATGGCTGTGGCAGATACCAAAAGCTACTGCGACAAAAGGAAGAGCAAGACACTTTCCCTCCCTTATATTGTATGCTGGCTGCCTACCCCTGGGCAGGTGCAGCGCTCACACTGCCAGTCCCAGTGCTAGACAATGAACCAATCACATGCTAGATTCAGCCACTTTAGAAAAGCCCCCCCATTGTCTTCTCCCCCCATGACCACATGAAGCTTTGCAGGATCACCCGGACATAAACCATAACAATCATAAAGCAGTTCTTGTACATTGTTCACTGCCAGGTAACATTTTACCCACATGTCTCAATTTTCATGTTTGCATATATGTAACTACTACAACGCCACTGCTCCCACAAGAAAGGGTAAGCAGAGATGTAAAAAGTTCACTGTTTAAGAATGGAGTTTAATCCTAGCATTCAGGAGGTTGACGCAGGAGGATTGCCTGAGTTCAAGGCCAGGCTGGGCTACATACTAGAAAATTCCAAGGCTGGTCTGAACTACATGGTGAGTGCCTTTCTCAGAAACGCAAAAGGAAAAGAAAGGTTTTTAGGCTGGGGTTGTAACTCAGTGGTAGAGCATGTGCTTAGGGTGCACCACACCCTGCATTCAGTCCCAAGGGAAAGAAGCTGAAAGTGAAGAAGAAAAGAGCAGGGAAGGAAGAAAAGCTGCTTTCCTGCATAAAATGAGATCCTGGGATTGGATTAGGTTTTAAGAGAAAAGAATAGGGCTAGAAGTAGTTCTAAACCAACTGATGAAACAGGAATTTGCACGTTTGTAGAAACAAACATCTTCAGAGAAAAAAATCAAAATTGAGATCTATGAAAGCAGTGTTGATGAAAAAGAATGCCACATACGAATGGATATGCCCTAAAAATACAGAAAACTGGCTATCATTTAAAGTATGATTGCAAATTGTATCAGCAAGTCCTGGCTCATTCACTGTCATAGCTAGGTAATCCTGTATTAAAACCATGATTAACATCGCAGTTTATGATGACTAAAGGAGTCACTTAGGAGCTGGTGGCTCAGTGGAACAGTACTTTGCTGAGCATACACAAGCCTTGGGTTGAGTCACCAACAGCAAAAGATAAAAAACAATTACTTGGTAAGTTTTAAAAGAAATGAGGCCTGAGAGAGCTCAAGGGCAAAGTCGTGCTTGGTCTCCGTCTAGTGTGAGTTCATGAAGGGAAGGGTAGTGCACCAGGAAATAAGAGGGATCTGTCTTGTCAAGAGTCAGTATTAGGGGCTGGGGATTTAGCTCAGCGGCATAAGCGCCTGCCTTGCAAGCAGGCAGTCGTGAGTTCAATCCATGGTACCGATAAAAACGAAAAAGACCAAAAAAGAGTATTAGGAATACACAGCTGTGCGTGGTGGCACAAGCCAGATAACCACAGACTAGGAGAGGTCTAGCCCAGGGGCAGTTGACTGCAAGGCAGAAGGAAGCTCCCCAACTCAGGGTATTTGGAAGGCAGACAGCAGACGAAGAGACGTAAAAGAGGACAAGGCCCTAGTGGCTACAGTCCCCAAGGTCACACGTGTGAACTACTTCTCCAAGTAGATTCTGCCTCCAACAGTTAACCTGTGGACGGTGTTGGGACTCTCAGTTTAGTCACCTCTCCAGGTGTCTGAAACTACTCAAGCTGACAATTGAGAGTAACAACTGCAGTCCATACATTCAAAATTTTTAACTAGAGAAATAGAAAATTTTAAAATTATCTTCTAGTGAGTTACATCCCCAGCCCTTTTTCAGTATTTATCCTGAGACAGGGTCTCACTATGTTACTAAGTTGCAATCCCCCTGTGTCACCTCTTCAGAGTCTGGGATCCAGGTGTCATTATTGTACCACCATACCTGGCTGAAAATCTTCCTCATGGAAACATGTACAAAAATGTACATAGTCTCATTGGTTT